GAGAGAGAGAGAGAGAGAGGGAGAGAGAGAGAGAGAGAGAGAGAGAGAGAGAGAGAGAGAGAGAGAGAGCCAGGACGAATGAAGCCACATCCTGGGTGGTAACGTGAAGGGATAAAGCCCGCTGGTAGCCTTCCATGTGCATCATTGTTTCCACCTATTGTCCGGTGGTAAGAAAATCCAAGGCACGATGAGAACGTGACGCAAGTCAGTAGCCCCTGGCCACTGAGGGAGAAGGGCGTCGTCCAAACTATCAGCCAACGTCCAGCCGTCGCTCCTGTAATTTCCATAGCATTTGGAATTTCGATGCGATAAACCGCCCGAGAGAACGTCCCTTGAATCATCAACGAGAGACTAAAAATGGCGGCGGCATGTTACGAGAAGGAAGTCTCCATCGAGAGTATAAATAGCCACAGTTTGGGGCCCAATGCCCACCACCACTTTCATCATCACTCGCACCATCATCATCATCATCACAGAAGTGGAAATGTTGGTACGGGTAATAGCAGCAGTACAACGTCTTCCTCGACGCCAGTGTCGTCGGGAAATCGCTCGTCGATCTCTGGTGTTACGGTGATAGGGCAGGGAATAGTGTCGCCGACGGTTGCCAACGATATTGTCATTGCTGGGGGTAGTACGTACAAAGGGGAGCCAACGCCCGTTGGTAATTTCAAGGACTACGCCCAGCCATTGCACGTTGATTGCAGTGTTGAGTATGAATTGCCGAGCCAGGCTAAACCACCACCAGGAGGTGGTGAGCCCCTTCTCATGATTCATCCCTGTTACTACAGACGTGCTGAACGCGAGAGGCGGAGTCCCTTTGTCAATAATTTACCACCAATGGTGGCATCCTCTGGGCGAAAGACCAGTAGACGCGATAACTCAGTCAGTCAGAGTCACGTTGCCAAGGGTATGACTGGGGGTGATGCGGCGTCAGTGGCAATGGCTGTTGTTGCAACAGCCACAGCCGCTGTCACCTCGAGCGCCCACACCAATGCCAATTCGACGATTCTACTTGGCGATGCATTGACAGCCTCCTCGCCCTCCACCATTGCGATCAATACGCTGATGCACAGAAAGCAAACGAGACGCGATGACGATTGCAATAATCAGGATAACGAGATTGATAAGAAACGACTGAGCCAGCAGCATCGCGCTGCAGCCTTTTCAACAGTGCCGAATGCTGGTAATCTCACGACTGCCGATGAAAAGGCCGTCATATCGGGGATTTATCAGCACTACTTTCGGGCAATGCGCTCGCATCACCAGCCCCATCATCATCATCTGCATCAGGATGTTGATCAGGGCCATACACAAGTGCCACAGCAGCATCATCATCTATATGAGGACGCTCACCTACACGTTAATACAGCAACAGCACTGACAGCTGCCAGTCCAGCGCCTGCATCGTTCATTCAAAATTTTCAAATGCCCGCCGATCCTGTATCAACAACATCCTCACGCAGACGCACCACTAATCAACATCATCCCTATCGGCGAGGGTGCTCGATATCTCGTGCACCAACAGCAGCCATTCCCACTATACCCTCGTCCCCGAGCTCAAGTGTGTATGCAACAGCTATGAATAGGCATAGAGAGGCATCCCTTCAGGCATTGAGAATGGCTGCTGCTGCTGTTGCTGCAGCCGCTGCCGCTGCCACTGGTGGTAGCACTAACAATGGTACAACCGGCAGTTTCTACGAAGCACCAGCGTACAGAGCACTACTACCAAGAAGCTAGGACCCGGCAAAATTACCCTACAACACTAGTATCATCACGTCAAAGGTATCATCGTCATTGCGCTCACACCAAAATTCAATTATCAATTGTGTAATTATCGTAACGATCAGCCTAGTCGTTTTAGTTTTACCTCAGACATTAACGTTATACATTTTGGCCGCGCTGTTGCCTTCTCTATTATCATCATCATCAGTATCATCAGACGCATCGCAGTCCAATCCCGCTGAAGTTACGAACAATAAAACCACGAGTAAGATAATATCGTACAGCACGAACGATTTTCGCTCCGGCTTGTCTCCCCACCCGCTCCCTCCCAGCGTTCGTATTATCGTCGGTCCCTTTTTACCCTCCGCCCCCTCCCCCTCCCCACCCCCTCCCCC